CATAATTTCCTCTATCATATCACCACTTAATCATATCTTCAACTTATCACTAAGCACTGGAATCTTTCCTGACTCATTTAAAATAGCCAAAATCATACCAGTATTCAAGAAAGGAAACAAAGATGACATTAACAACTACAGACCCATCTCCATTCTTTCCCCGCTGTCAAAAATTCTTGAAAAACTTTTCTTTAAAAGACTCTCTAATTTCTTCTGCTCCAACAATATTATCTGCAATAACCAATACGGATTCAGACCCAACCACTCAACTGAGCTTGCTATTCTTGACTTCACTCAGCACATACTAAATGAAATGAATAACAAAAATCTTTTTATTGGCATTTTCCTGGACTTATCCAAAGCCTTCGATGTCATCGATCACAAAATATTCCTATCCAAACTACATCATTACGGAGTAAGAGGCACAACTCACAACTGGATGAGAAGCTATCTTTCATCACGGACACAATATGTTTCCATGGACAATATCAATTCAAAGCACGCTCTTATTCATCACGGGGTGCCACAAGGATCCATACTAGGACCCCTTCTATTTTCTATTTACATAAATGACCTCTGCAATGTTTCGCCCTCAACCAAATGCGTACTGTTCGCAGACGACACCAACCTTCTTTTTACTTCCAACAACCTACCAGATTGCTCTGAACATATCAATCTTGAACTCCAAAAATACTCTAACTGGTTATCCAATAACAAACTAATCATAAATTATTCGAAATGTGCATACATTATTTTTGGCCCAAAAATACTCACCAACCAAGCTCCTAACCTAAACCTATTAGTTAATGGTGTTCTTATAAGCCGCACCCTGTCAACCAAATTTCTTGGAATCACCATCACAGAAAATCTTTCATAGAATTCTCACCTACAAACTACCTCAGACAAAATCAACAAACTCACAGGCATCTTCTACAAAACCAAATATAAACTCTCTCTTTCTGCTCTTCGCACGCTTTATTACACATTCATCTATCCTTATCTAACCTACTGCATCACACTATGGGGAAATAGTCCAAAAAGCCACCTGAATAACTCAATACTTTCCCAAAAAAGATCAATACGTTTAATTTTTAACCTCAAACCCGATTCTCATACTAAACCCTTCTTCCTAGCAAAAAAAATTTTACCAGTTAACTTCATCTGTCTTTACTACTCTGCTTTATTCGTTTTTAAATTTATCAACAATCTTCTCCCACCTCACTTTATCAATTTCTACACATTAAGTAACTCCGTTCAATCTACAACCACTAGACACACCCCTCTCTTTTATATCTACAAAACTAGCCTCAAATTAATCCAGACAAGCATAAAAATTACAGGTCCTAAAATTTGGACAGAACTTGTACCTCCCCATCTAAGAGCCATCATAAACCTACAACATTTCAAGTCAAAATTCCGTGCTTTTTTATTGACACTGGATCTCGACTCCACCACCTAATATTATATTAAGAATAAGCTAGAACAAATGATGCGGATGAATGGTCTTTATGAATGGTTAAACATTTATGTGTTTATATATGTACTGAGCGAACATTTACATAGTTATATGTCTATATATGTATGACACGAACATTTACTTATTTATCTTCAATTATCTTTCTGCTTCAGTTATTTTCCTTATTTTATTTCATTAACTATTCATGTATTTACCTGCGGTGGCCACCACAAGACAAACAGTCTTATTCGGTCTTCGCATATTCAACTTCATAACTTTTATTCACTTATTTGATATGTTGTTGATTATGAATAAAACTTTGAAAATGAAAATGAAATGAGACCTGACTGCAAACCTAACTAAGCAGGACTATATATAACATAGATTTTTAGCATAAATTCAATATTTCTTTACAATCATCTATCCAAAAATTACAAATATAGCAAGGACGACAATAACCAAATAATAAATAATCAAGCGCATTTTGATCACTATAGCGGTTATATCAATATATATAGGTAACTAATTCACTTGAAAATTGGATTACAAACATAAGAAGTTGATAAGAAAGTTGGAAAACTTTAAAAAAAACATAACAATCTGAAAACTTCGATCAAATCTGACAAAACATGTATAAGAATAATCTATCTAAACTTAATTATATCTGTATGTATGTGAGTGTGTATATTTTTTTATTTTTTATTATTGACTAGTTACGGCCTTTTAGTGGCCTGTTATGTTTTTACATGCTTGGTTTTCAAGCAATGATTGATGCTTTTAGGCTAATAAAAACATTTGATAAAATAAATGAAATGAAATATAAGCGGCTGTTTGGCCTGGTTGCATGATTACTCACATTTGATCGATTAAGGTTTTTGTGCATATTTATACAAGGTTTATAAGCATAAAATTGTTGTCAGGTAAAGATCCTACCTTTACTCTTACTCACCCTCCTCACTGGCATGTACAAAGAGCAAAATCATTCTTTCTTTCTGAGGGACATGTTTCTATTTCCCAAAAACAGAATTCATATATATATATATATATATATATATAATATATGTAATAATATATATATATATATATACATATATGGGGTGTTTTTTTGAAAATTATATATATATATATATATATTCTGTCGATATTTTCTTACATATATATACTAAACACATACCACACACACACACACAAACACATATATATATATATATATATATATATATATATATATATATATATATATATGTGTGTGTGTGTGTGTGTGTGTGTGTGTGTGTGTGTGTGTGTGTGTGTGTGTGTGTGTGTGTGTGTGTGTGTGTGTGTGTGTGTGTGTCTATAGATATATGTTGGTAATAGACCATAATTTTTACAATATTCTATAAATTCTACCGAATGTTTGGCGTTAATATGTTTGTAGTTCGTTTTTTCGATTTTTCTCACTAAAGTTTTTTGGTGAACGTTTAGTTTATTAAATTTCAAAATAAACTTATTTTTCGAATTTTCGATTTTTTTCACTAAAGTTTTTTGGTGACCGTTTAGTTTATTAAAATTCAAAATAAACTTATTTTTCGAATATTCGAAAAATAAGTTTATTTTGAATTTTTTATTTCCTATATATATATATATATTTTTAATTGGGGTTAAGACTGTCGTCGACACAACTGTTAAGAAATATCATGAAATATTACATCATTACCAGCTTTGATTCAATTCAGATTCTGGTTCAATTTTTCAATATTTCGTAACGTATTTTTATCATCATTTTCAACTTATTTATATAAGAAAACAACGTTTTTAATTACTTTTTTTTATATTATTTTATACAGATAAAGCTTTTTTCCGGTAATCTTTTACAATTGTCAATGTTATCACTATTGGTTGTTGTATCTTATATATCTTATATCTGTGCGTTCCTACTTATTTGGATCCAGAAATTGACATTGTGTTCCTATTTTGTTGGCTCTAAAATAATATAAATTATATTTACAATCAATTGTTTCGACATTCTTCATGACTAAATATTTTTAATAATCTTTCATCCGTTTTATATGACAAAAACATGATAATGTTTTTTATAATATATTGTTATATTATTAGTTCCAGTGGACCAGTTTCTATCATTGTGTTGATTTTTTTTATAACCATTATTAATTAACTGTTTTGTCACTCTTTTCAATTTTTTTCTCCTATGAAAACTAACGATTGTAATGACAAATTACATCTCAGTATTTACTATGCCAACAACAGAACATTTTTCTTTGTTCCTATAAATAACTGTAACATGAAACATGAATGAATAATGAAAAGAAGCTTTTGATATATTATTTTGAATGTCGGTGAGTACAAGCACCGAAATTAAGAATATTTTGGACAAACCACTACTACATTGACACGAAGATTAACTATGCATACACAAAGAGGTGCAATAAAAAGTCATTTAATTGATAATCAAGGAACAGCAATTACTAGAGAAATACTCAGCAATAACACAAAGCTAATGTATCGCTACTGTTCAACTTATTAAAATAGCAGAAACTACTAATAAAAAGAATTAATTGATGAACGCAAAGTGAATTTACGGGCCAATAGAGCAGGTACGCACAAATATATGTGTATATATAAGATACAACCAATATACTACAAGCTGAAAATGCAGTGATATTACTTAACAATTTTATCTGCGACAGTCTCAACCCCAACTATATATATATATATATATATATATATATATAATATCACGCATTTTCGCATTGTTAAGCTTGTAACTAAGTTAATCTTATTTTTAATAACTGTATTTACGACAGTCTGAACCGATATATATATATATTTACAATATTCTATAAATTCTACCGAATGTTTGGCGTTAATATGTTTGTAGTTCGTTTTTTCAATTTTTCTCACTATATATATATATATCACTATATATATATATATATATATATATATATATTAAAATATTCTATAAATTCTACCGAATGTTTGGCAGCGACTGCTCCATCTCTCTCTCGAATTAGAAGTTTGCCAAACATTCGGTAAAATTTATAGAATATTGTAAAAATTTTGGTCTATTACCAACATATATATATATATATATATATATATGTTGGTAATATATATATATATATACTTTATATTTATATATATCATAATATATACTTCAAGTGCTTTTGTATTAGTCAGCAGTATACTTAATATAAGGTGCTGTTTTGAATTATTACATAACGTTTATAAATTGTATATAACATATATGTATATAATGTATGTACATTAGGATGTTTTTAAATATGCACATACATAGTTTTGTTACACAATCATATTAAATAGTTTTTGATCTCTAAAATTTTGTTGATTCAAAATTCGGATCAGATATTCCAGCCATGATAAAAAATTTTCTTTTGTTTTTTGCGGCCAGTTGCGTGATCAATGGTGATACTAATAATGAATTAGTGATCACTGAGCAAGTTTTTAAAGAATTTCAGCCATCTGTTAGATTCAATGTCTTTAATTTTTAATTTTAGTTTTATATTGATAATATGTTTTCTAGATAATCACATCTACCAGAGAGCATGCTCTATATTTGTGGATTTATATTGACCCAAATGCAAACGCAACTGCGGTAGCCAGGGTAGTTGCTAATTTACAAAGTCATGTTGATTATGTTTCACCTCCTGCGGATGTTAATGAAAATAACAAAATTGTAGCGGGTATTGGTTTTGGAAACAATTTTTATAAAAAGGTTTATTTTATCGTTTGAAATTTTGATATTAAACTCTAAATATGCACAATTTGACTAAAGATACCAACAGCAACACCTCGCGATTTTCCATTAGTCACGAGAAGAGGAGTTCTCGGGGTTCTTCCAGCAACCGGTCAGTATTTTTTATTCTACAAATTTTAAGGATATAAAAATTAAAACATAAACGATAATATTATACAAAACATGGTGGCTTTATGGCTTGTCTTTTGTGAATAATAAACATCAGGCTCACAAAATTTTTTTGAAATTAAATGTTTATTTTTAAAAAAATCATATCAATGATATAAAACTAGTTCACTTTCTCCATTGTTCCAACAAAGTTAGTGTTAGAAAGTAGGACAATGTTAATTTTAGTTTGATTTGAACTTTCAACAATATGTTTCAGCGATTTGATTGTTTTTTAAATATGTATTATAATACGAATTTGACCTTTTACATTACATTGCGTGGTTAGTGTTACTTTAATTTAAATATCATTTGTTCAAGAAAATCAAATATGTTAGAGCTAGTTTGGCTAAACCTTCATAATCAGTGTTTTGATATTAAGTAAAGTTGAAGGATTAGATTATCTGATATCGGGTAATAATCAAAATTGTTATCGCTGAGCTATTTTATCTATTTTACTGTCGTTATTGTTCTGATTTTTGTTCTATTAGATATATTTTTATTGAACAAGTTGTTTACGTTAATTATAGGTTGATGATTTTTTACAAAATGTGAACAGACAACTATTAGTGTGAGAAATATATTTGAATGAAGAGATTTTGTGGTCTAACATTTGGCATGATGAGTCGTAAATATTGTCAGTTCTCTAAAAAGATAAAAAATTGTTTGAAATCATCATTCGAATAAGAATAAAAGAAAATGAGTAGGCTAATAGGTTTAGGGTAACATTTTTTTTAGAATTCAAAGAGCAGTTTTAGCATTTGTGTAATGGATTTGGAGTTTCAGTAAAGTGTTATTACTAGTTTTATTATTATCATTTTATATGATTTAAAATCTTTCCATGAGCTATATTATACATGCTAATGTTTGACGAAATGTTTCAGTAATATAATATTGGTTCATTCATATTTTTTTGTTTTTTGTGGTTTGTTGGCAGTTTTGGTTTTTTAATTCTTTAAATTGATTAGCATAAAGTTAATGGGGTAGAACGGCAGTTTTAAACGTTACATGCTGGATAATTGTTTTATAATTTGCCGTTTATACGTGTAATATTTTGTAATAACTGACAAAAATTTAATTTAAATATTAATTCTAAAGAAATCCGTATATATCGGGACTTTGTTGAAGGGGTCCAATTAAGCAAGTTATTCTTTTAACTAACTTGAGATTTAGATATGACGCGAATTTGTAAACTAAAAATTAAATGCAATAGTAGTTATTATTGCAATAGTTATTGAAATTATAGTTATTAATATTGATTAATATTGTTATAACCGTGCTACCGAACGCACTAGATTCTAGCGTATTCTAGAATGTTCTAGTGACTGGAACGTTCTAGAGTATACTGGAATCGGACCATCTGGAAGAATATAAAAACGACGCTTGCGAAGAGTATATAAGCGCACGTCGCAAGAGATTCGTGATTAGTGATATTGGTGATTAGTGATATTGGTGATTAGTGAAATTCGTGATTTTGTGAATAGCGATTCGGTGAATTATTTAAAGCGATATTTGATTTGTTTGTTGACGTTGTCATAGCGATAGATTTTGAACGATTTAAAAGTTAATTGTTGCGTTAGTTTGAATTTACTGGAAATAAACGATTAGTTGATTTCTTCTGTAAATAAAGTTTAATAACTAATAATAGTTGATTTCTTCTGTAAATAAAGTTTAATAACTGTTTGGAATATTTTATTCAATCGAGGATTTGAACCCGTCGCATCGTAAATCGGTTACGACAGCGAGTATTATAACACTATTAATAACAATAGTAAACATTTAAGATAGACATCCAATTAAAAGTTGCTTGGTAAAGTTATCCTTTTAGTCAAAAAATATTAAAAAAACAGTCATTAAAATGCAGCGTTGGTAGTATTAAAATTTAGGTAAGAGTCTGAGTAGATATTATCTAGTGGCGAGTCAGTTGATGGGCGTTGATTGTGAGCTCTTTTCGCTTTTTTCCTTTGAAAACTGTTTAGCTTGAACTAAATTTGTGCTAAAATTATTGCATCAGAACCACCAAACTTTCACTATTATATTTTTCGTAGCATGAAATTTCAAAGCCCATTTGCGCGAATAAGCATATTTATAGTATCTAAATTTGTTTTATAGACCTTTTATTTTTCTTCAAATTTTGAACCAATAATGACTCAAATATATGCAATTCTTCTTTTAGCAGTTGCTGGTTATTTATTGCTGGTCATAAACCAGCCCAAGTGTACAAATTGTTAATCAGTAGACCTAAAATATTTCACAATTACTTTTTGTTAATGTATATATCATAGAATAAGCAAATCTCGGTTACCACAGCAACTATTTCAGAACAATAATACAGAACAATTAACAGACCAATGTTGAAGTTTACCTTTTTTAACATAAAATGTATACAGCCCGTTTTTCCATTTTTCTAACGCTTTTTCATCGTAATAATGCTGTGAACAATGATGGTGATAATGATCACATTGTAGGCTTCAGAAGTTTTCAATTTTTGAATTGATTCTCACTGTCAGTTTTGATTTGATGTCCCTTTAACACTTTAACTGGTTATTACTTATTATACTTAATACTTACTTCTTCTAATACATTCTAAAGTCATTCATACTTTTTGTAACCAGATAAAATTAAATGTATTTTTGACATTCATAAAACTATAATAAAACCGTTGTCACTGTTCAACTCTCGATATCAGAATTTGTTGGGGTATTTTTCTCTTTTTGTAACTGGTCCGTTGTATTAATATGTGAAAAAATGAAGAAAAAACATTATTACCTTGAAAATGTACTGCTTCTAAAATTTTAATATATTTTAAAATGTGAATTACCGATGTTATAATAAAAATTAAAATACTAATTAAATTAGAATATATAAATCAAATATAAAAATATAAATAAAATAAAAAATTAAATATGAAAATTAAAATGAAATTGAAATGTGTTGTTTCTTAAATTAAATTTTTTGATTTCAACCTCATATTTTCGAATGTAAATCATCGACGTTGCAAAACAAATTTATGAAAATTGTGAATATAATTTTTGTAGGTGGCGATGTTTTCATCCATGCTAAAAGCAACAGCAAATCAAAGCTGTTTGAACTGACGGAACGAATCAAGAGTCAACTTCCTAATAACAGTATGGATTCCTTTGAAGATGTCTACGGCTGGGTCTACAAAAATGGAAGAGATTTGTCGGGATTCATAGATGGTCAGTTCAATAATTGATACAGCTAATTTTTAGTTATCTTAAATTAGCGGTTAAAAATAACACTCAGTCTATATTTTCCAAATATTTTAATTTAATAAGTGATTAGTAGACAAAAGAAGTTGTTTGAAAATATCATAAAAAATTGTTATGCCCAATAACAAACTTGGAGCGAAACAAAGTCATTACGTTGACGTTTTAATGTTATATTTTTCTTCTTATTATTATTATTCATTATTATTATTGCCACTATTATTATCATTATTATTTATTAATTATTACTATTATCAATCAATGATTTTGTGATATCGACTTTCTATCCGACCAATGTTACTGCATTATTTTGTATAAGCTGAACCCTTTTAATCGTAGAATTCAATAATTCACTTTAGACAGTCTACACGATAACCGTGGATCTATGTAAATGTCAGGTGGAATTTATTTTTTGATTAGTTTTAATTATTTACACTTACCACCACCATCTCGTCTAACCTCAATCTGTCAAACGACCTGCATTCAGAATTTCATCACCAATACCATACGTAGCTGCTAACCTTTAACAGTACTTCGTAATCAATCGTATCAAGCCAAGCTCAAATCTAGAAGAGCTAATTACACTACACGATTTCACAGTTTAAATAAATCTTTGCAAAATTGGAGGTTGGAAATCGCACTTTTATCGTTTGGTAAACCATTTTGTTCCTATAGTTGAGTAATGATTGCTGACTTGAACCAGTGAGAAAATATTTTTTTACTTATTGAATGCCAACAAATGCTAATGTGCATTGGTTATTTTTAAATATTGGGACATAAAACTGTTAAATTTTGAAATGTTTATTTTCTCACAAATCGTACGAAGCAAAAATCAATAAACATTTGAATAAAATAATAGCAAAACTAATACTACAAACAATATTCAAATAAGCAATTTACCAATGAATGAATGAATGAATGAATGAATGAATGAATGAATGAATGAATGATGGATGGATGAATGAATGAATGAATCAATGAATCAATCAACCAACCAACTAATCAATCAATGATGAATGAATCAATAAATTAATCGCTCAATCAATTAATGAATGAATCAATGTTTGACTCACGAATTTAATTTCCACAATTTAACAAATCAACGAAAAATAAATGTGAGGAAACTTAAAAACAAAGTCAAAAAGAAAATGATTATAGTAAAGATATATATTAATTATTATCATATATTATCAAATTCAAACAGGAATATTTTTGAAAATTTAAAGGCTTTATGATTGTAATAAAAAAACTATAAAATGTCATGTATCAACCACTTTGAAATGATGACTGAAAAACTATGATTGCCAGTGGCGGAGTAATTTGCCGCCCAATTTTAAAATTTAGAAAACTTAATCAAATAAAAACGATATTTTTTAAACATTTTTATTAGATACATTCTTTAATAATATTTATGTAATATTAGTAGTCTATCAAAAAGTTACTTCGAAACATTGCATGTTTTTTCAGCGTGCAAACACATCAACAACGAAATTAAGGTTGAATCCTCTCAAAATTGTTTTTTCAACGCAAGGATAGCAAGGATGTTTTTTTTCGAAATTTTTGAATGCAAATAATTTTTAACGTCCCTCAAACAATAAAAAGACCCCTCGGCGAAACAGGTTGTAGAAGGAGTGCAGCTAGTGTACATTCGAAGAGCAATGTTTACATTTGGATATACGCACTGAAACTCATTCACTCTTTTCTAATTACGTGAATCATTTGGAGTTTTAGAACTAAATTTTGGTCTAAGAAGGCCAAATAAAACTTTAAGCGCAACAGTTTGGAATTTAAGGTGTCCAGATGGTTGGGAGATGTTTCTCTTATTATATAATTATAATTAGGAGTATTATTTTGTAGCTGAACTAACAAATGCTGATTTTAAATTCATCATCGCAAGCAAAACATCAATAAATCCTTCATCGTCTTATTCCTGAATATTTTTGAACATCTCTGGTCATGATCGCCTTGCAAAAAAAGCGATTCCGTGTTGTGATGAAAAGAGCTAGTCAGACCATGCAAATGGAGGAGAATATGAGAAACTTTCCATTGTTACAAATTTAAGATGTATCTAAAAACATTTCAAATGTTTGAAAAATCATTATTAAATTTTATTGTCTTTGAACAGATATTTTAGTATATTTGTACACAGACTACAATATGAAGTTTCTTTCAAACAGGCACAGAAAATCCAAGCGAGCTGGAAGAAAGAAAACAAGTGGCAGTTGAGCGTTCTACAGGCGGAAGTTTCACAGTATGTTTTTATTTTCACTCCAGCAAATATTTCGTGAATATATAACTTATAAAAAAATTACTTTTTAGTTGAAATATAACTGTATTGAAAAATTAAAAAAAAATTTCATGAAACAATTTTTCCTTTATTGGTTTACTAATTTTTGTTACAAAAAAAAAAAAAATTTATTTATTTTGGTTTATTGTTTTTTTAATTTAGATTACGCAGAAATGGTTACACAATATGAAATTCATTCATTCACAAAGTGATGAAACGCTGGAAAAGTTTGTGGGTCGTACGAAAAATGACAGCCTGGAACTGTCACCTCTGCCAAGATGTTCCCATGTCGCAAGGATGGTCAACAGTTAGTTAATAAATAATTTTAATAATAATTAATAATTAATTAATAATAATTATAATTTTTTGTTTAATTTTGGGTGGCCCAATAAGTCATTTCTTTGGGTCTCCTAGCTTTGCTGAATAAACTTATCATTGAATTGAATTGAATTAGTTCATTTACTTCGCATAAAGTATTTGCATTTTAAGACATTAATTTCAACGCCACTTCAAAATTCATTCACTTGGTATGAAATCATTTTTCTTGCTGACAGTCTTTCTCCAATCGCTTAATTGCTTCGATCGCCCAAACAGTTGCTGTGTGAAATTTTTTAAGATTAATTTAGTTCGTTTTTATTAAGTTTTGTATTGTTTATTTGACCGCAATAGAAACAAAAACCAAAAATTTATGTGTTTGACCAATATGTTTTTAAATGATATTTAAATTTTTAGAGTAATAAATGCAAATTTCAGGTACTGAGCCAGGTGCGCTTGCCCCGTTTAAAATAGTTCGACAGTCCCAACCATACGGCACTGTATCGGAAGAGTCGGGACTTTTTTTTATTGCCTACGCTAACGACACTCGCAATTTTGAATATCAATTGGACAACATGGTGGGGAAATCAAGCAGTGGATCAGATAGCGGATGTGCTGATGACATTATGAGAATATCAAAAGCTTTATCAGGCAATTATTGGTACTTCCCAGGAGTTGAGGAATTGAAGAAAATGCTTTAAATATGAACATGCACTTAACAATAATTTTCGACTGTTTTCAAAATTTTAATTTATAAAAAATTCCAATAATTTGATTATAAATTAATTAGTATTTTAATTTTTTGATTAGTATTTGAACAACTTTTATTCATAAAATGAATTTCATTTCGTTGATATGAATCTACGTAAGTTTCATTCTAATTGATAACCGATCGAGTGCTGGTTAATAAGTTTTTGTCATTTATTATATTTTATTTACTCATTTACTCATGTTATTGTTTTGTTAACTCGTTTCTTCATAAATTAATTTATTAATAATTGATTCATCGATTATCAGTTTGTCACAGACATCAGCATCTTTTTCTGATTCAATTGCTCGATTTTCCTTTCTTTGTAACCTGCTTAAACGCTTGTTTATACACCTAGAAATATATTGCAAGCCGGTCTATCGTACCTCAACAGGCTTTACCAAAATGGTCTTATTAAACGGCTGGTCCGTTTAACCGATGTTAACATTTCATAAGATTTAACAATTTGGAAATAAAAACACTGCAATAATGGTTATGTTTAGCAGACAATTAGGCCAACGATTAATTTACTAATTTGTTTTCATCCTTCAATTTAAATTAAAGTACGCCTAAGGAACGTGGCCATAAGTCTCAGGGCACAGCCGAGTGCATGAACATGCATTACACATACATTTTTGCAACCCCGCTCGCTGTACCCTGGTTAACACTCATAGAATACAATATTTATATACATATATGCACATTCTTTCACACACATATATCAATACATACACACACACACACATAGACACATTCACACTTACACGTAAACAAACACACACACACTCATGCACATGCACACATAACCCTCACGCAAACATGCAGGCAAACGCACCCACACACACTCACGCAATACACTTATTCTAATATTTAACATTTATACTATTCACAAGCACAAAAAATTAAACATGTACTTGTATCAGTGCCTAAACTATAATAAAATACATAAACAGAAAAACAACCAGCTTTTACCGCTGGAACACAACCCGAAAATGTTAGGACTAACCTTGGACACAATGCTGTCGTTCTCACAACAAAACAAAATGGCAGCGGCCAAGGCCACCAAAAGAAACAATATTCTTAACGCTCTCAGCGGCACCACATTTAGCCAGGATAAAGAAACACTCCTACAGGCATACAAAGCCATTGGGCGTTCCACAATTGAGTATGCCTGCTCGGCCTGGTCCCCTCTGACGTCCAACTCAAGCCTCAACAGACTACAATGCTCTCAGAATGCTACTTTACGACTGGTTACAGGCTGCCACAAAATCAAGTCCGAGCAGCATTTGTTAAATTTCTTATTACGTAGATCGCTTAATTAATTGATACAATATTGAAAGACATTAATAGACAAGAAATAAACTTTGCAACGTTCTCGACTTGTTTATTATCCACCGGATCAACAGAAAAGGAAAAGTGAAGTTACATACAAAGCAAAGAACATTTGGTCCAAAGAAAATAAATGTATATTATAAATCATAATGTTTTAATATAAAACATAAAACTTAACACCTTCTCATTTTATTTAAAACATTAGATGACCTTAACGTAAATGTTCTGAAGACCCATCGCACACATCAGATTCTTTAGTCTTGGTCCTACCATTGGTTTTGTCAGAGCATCAGCAACTTGAAGTTCTGTCGCAACTCGTTCAACTGAAACTTCTTCTTCTGCAACTTTTTCTCTGACAAAGAAATGTCTAATGTGGATGTGCTTTGTTCTTCTGTGAAGTTCTGGATTGTGTGCTAACCGAATTGCTGCTTCATTGTCGACAAAAATTTCTGGTTTTTTCTTTAGATCTACGATGTCGTTCAACAATCGTTTGAGCCATATCACTTCACGAGCTGCTTCACTTGCGGCAACGATTTCTGCTTCAGTAGTTGAAATCGCAACTGAGGGCTGACGTTGGCTAAACCAACTGATCACGCTTCCTCCAAACATACAGATTACACCTGATGTCGATCTTCCACTAGATTTATCTAACCTATTACACTCACATATTCATAT